ACGACCATCCTTTTGAACACCAATTCGATGGCAACGTACTAAAGACACATTTGTAACATGTGGGATACCCATTTTCTTATGTATGATTATATTTCTTGTCCCAGTATTTCTTGTTCAGTATTAACTTCTGGGGAGTCAGAGATCCCAATAAATAGAAGGATATTCTGTCTGTGCTGCATATCAATAGCATCAATTGACTTAGTGTAGGCTTGAATTTGTTGCAGAAGGAGATTGAGCATGCAACAAACGACGTCCTTGAATTCATAAAACTCCTCGCGGAGTTGATTAAGAGAGGGATTAGTAGGTGTGGAGGCAGCCTTTAATCTGTTTTCAAATTCAGCCATTTTGCGACTCCAGCTTCCTTCAAGTTCTCTTTGCATGCCCTCCACATCAGTTACTCTTGCTATTTCTTCCAATATTTGCTGTGATATTAGTGAACACAAAGTGAAGTGCTAATGAGTGATATAGTTTGCAAAAACAAAGTGACACTAATGGGTGGTATGTGAATGTCACAAACATTTTATCTGGACATATATTTCAATAGGACTTCAAAAGAAAAGGTAATAAAGATGTAATTGATATGTAAATATAGTCCAAACATTGGTTTAAAATAATTTTAAAGTATATAAAATATAAGAGCTAATAAGTCAGCTGTTACTTGTTACACACCTACCCACGAAAAAAAAGTAATTGTCTCTTTAAAAGTTCGCTTTCTTCAGTTCCTATCTTTTCTAGTACCTGTTTGTTTTCTTTATTTATCAAAGATGTCTCTGTCAGCGAATCTAGTATTTCTTGCAAATTTGTAGCTTTTCCTTTAAATACCGTTACTGCCATTGAAGCCTTTTTATGATATTGCTTTTTATTTGGAGACGTTTTTCAGTTTAATTTTCCTTGGTGTACACTTAGGTACGGCGTCTGGTACGGTCGTTTTTTGCCGCGCCGCCTCAGCACGTGCCGCACTTTATCAAAGGTTGACATTAAAGTTCGTAATGTAAAAAAAACAGCCGAAACGTCGGGAATGAAAAGTCAAAATTTAACGAGATAAAATCTGTAAAATTATTTTTAATTTAATGTGTAGTGTTCGCGTAAATATAAGTTATAATTGTAAAGAATAATATTGGTGCCAAGGGTAATAATAATAATAAAACTATCTAACCTATTGATATAATTACAGCAGTATCAGCTAACCTTATTTAATTGAAAACTTGAGGTATGAAATATGATTTATCAAAATGTTCGGAGCAAATGCTGCTAGTCCATTTAGGTATTCAAGATTCATAATTACTACAAACTGCAATCCAAGTCTCCTGATTAAGAAGATCTCTTGGAAATATGTAAAATTAAAACTTGTGCACAGGCTTGAGGATATAGGTATAAGGGGTACTCAAATTTATTTAAAGACTATCTTAAGGATCGTAAGCAGAAAGTAAAGATAGGTGAATACTTGGGCAACGAATCAGATATAACATTCGGAGTTCCACAGGGCAGTGTTCTGGGTCCTACTTTGTTTTTCCACAAGTACGAGGATTTACATTTTATATTAAAAATTTAAACTATTTGATAATAAAATTAATCTGTCATCTGTGTAAATCTGTTTAAAGTAATTACTAACATGTTTTGCTTAAAATTACTTATTTTTGATAAACAATAAAAATCAATGAGCTTGACGAGTTCCTTGTAGATGATTGATAATACAGTGGATTTCATTAATAACGACCTCGGTTGTAACGACTTTTTGGTTATAGCGACGTCAAACTTACGTCCCTTGAATTTAAAGCATACTTTCTTAAGAAATTCATTCGGTAATAGCGACTTCGGTTATAGCGTCAATTTCGGGTATAGCGACTTGTTTTTATGAACCATTTATGACCGATTCCTAGAAATCCCTTGCGGATATTGCGACTGAGTCAGCAAAGGCACAAATACTCATTCATAAAACTATTAAGCTTTCTTATCCTTTGTTTACATTCACAGATGGTCAAACTAATGCTTCGTTTGTATGTAGGACTACGTAGCATGTTTACGAAGTTAAACTTGTGAATCAGTTACATAGAAATAACAGTGAGTGAACAGTGTTTCTTAAACTTGTGAATATGGCTCCTAGACGTACATTTACTGTTAAAGAAAAAGTGGACATCATTTCGAGACTGCAAAATGGAGAAAACAATGTTGATCTGCGTAAAAAATTTGGAGTTTCACATTCTACAATATCAACGATGTGGAAAAACCGCGCTAAAATTATGGAGTGTTTTGAATCAAAATCCCTGAAAATAAATAAAAATCACAAAACACCCGTGTATAACATAATTAAATAAATGATAAGTAAATATGTACATGCGTTATTATTTCGGATATACAGGCCTCCGCATATAGCGACGACATTAAAGTGGTCCCTCCGCCGTCGTTATAACCGAAATTTACTGTACTTATTGATGTTGTTTCTACTTATATCTGTTCACAACAATGAAAGTCGCTGAAAACGGATAATTATCAAATACTTATTATTTGACAGGTTTTGGGTACAAGAGTGAAAAACGAGCACACAGTCCACCTGATAGTAAATGAATGCTGTGACCCATAGACACATACATTTATCCTCGATTAAAAACCAAAATGCAGATATGCGTTGTAACCCCTGAGGACTAAGATGCAATGCCTCCTTTCCAGTAAAAAGGGTCTCCGGTTCTCTACACTCACCATACGGAACACAGCAGCATTAAGCTGCTACTTTACGTACTAGGTATTCTGTGAGAGGGTGGTCCTTCCCCGGTCGAGCCAACCCACTCGTACTACAACCAAAGTATAGCTGCAACTTGGTTCTACCGTGTAGAATAGGAAACACTTTAAACTGTATTCTAACCCATTCTCTCGATGTAGATATTTGTCTCCTTTTATTGTCACTTTTTCACTTCACCGAGTTTTAAATCACAACAATTCTAAAGAACTTTTTAAGAAGAAGACATAATTTTAATGGATTTATCATTTTTTAACGAACTTTTATTTGTAGGCATGATGAAAATCCCTTTCATGATACTTAGGATTCTTCATTCCGATCCTCCTGCTCTCCTCTGTGTTTATTTTTAAATTACAAATGGGCTCACTCTTGACCTCCATCTGGCCCGGGGGGTAAAGATGGACTACGATGGAGTGAGTTGCCCAGGAGAAGCCTGTTAACATGCACCTTAAAGAGGTCAAGGTTATTGGTACTCGGAAAAACAGACGCCGGCAGGGTATTCCACACCTTGGCTGTGCGCATTATTAAAGATGATTTATAAGCGCTTAGTTTGAATATTCGAAATTTCAACCAAGTGTGGATGGGAAACTGCAGTATGTCTGGTACTCCGATAGACGAATGAAGATGACGGTATTAGCTTATGAAGCACATAGGCACATTTTCCGAAGTACAATCTGTAGAAAACCCACAATTAAACGAGCAACTTGGCGGCGGTGAGCTAAGTTGTGAAGCTTAGTTTCCACCAACTTTTTTGATGTGCCTGGTATATTTTCTTCTTTAGTTGCTGTCATTTACAATCTGACTCTCCGATTCCGAGCTATCACCTTTCCCTACCCTAATAATGAAACGTTCACACATTTCGTCTATGATATGATTACTTTTTCGATACTACCCTCTACTTCTTTCACTTATCTGCACAAAGCTGCCCATTCTCGCTGCTCGATTATCTTCACTTTTTCTTTACAAGTTACATTTCACATTTTTTGCTGCTACGTGACCCTTTACTGAGGCCCACGCCATCTCAAATCTAAACTCTATCTAAATTCAACCCGCTGTTGTTATACGAAAATACTATCAACAATTTGATAAGGATGACAGAGGGCGTAAGGTTGGCAATGTCTAGACGAAATCAAGCTTTTGTTCGTATCAACAGAGAACGAATTGAAGAAGATTGTTTGTCTTTTAAAGCAGTCAGGAATAGGTGCAATCAAATGGTACGGGCAGCTAAAGACCGATATTTCCATAGCTGTATTAATAACTCTTCTCCCGCCGAAAAGAAAAAGTGTTTTAATCAATCCAATTAAGGAAATAATTGGAAATTATCTTTAATATGAAAATATCTTTAAGTATTTCAATTAAACAATAGTATATTTAAAAAAAATACGATAAAAACTTTGAATATATAGCAAATAAACGATACTGGCGTGGACAACAATTTCTTTCAGTAATCCCAAAATAACATAACTTTAAATTTTTCAATAAAATCTTTAATACACCTCATGATAATCACATAAAACGAAATGTTGCATTTCCATACCAATAAAAAATGAGCAAAACAGTTTTCCATAAGAAATACAAAATAAAATCGAAACATAATCAACAATAAGTGTAATCGAGTGTAATATAACTCGAAAATCTTAGTTACTAATTAGAATAAGGGTGCAAATGATCCACCTAAGTGGTAAGGGGATTCTTGGCTCATTTACATGTATTCTCAATTAAGAATCAAAATGCAGATGGGTTGTCACCCCTAATAAATAAGATGGAATGCCTCATTTCCAACAAATAACAACAATCTCTGATTCCTTACACTCACCATACGAAACAGGGCAGTATTAAGCTGATATTTTAACGTTAGTATCTTGCAGTTAAGTCTTGGGACGATTTTATTTGAACAATTATGGGATGACAAGCAGATTTTGTTTGGCTTTGGGTTGCCCCCGATTATCTACTGAATTATTAATGAAATTAAGATTTTTTTAATTTCAATAACCTCGCTAATCATACGTGATTGAAATCGTTGTTCTTTTGCGAGTCGGGAAGTCGATCTACGTCCTGAAAATTTTCAGTATTTTGGTACTGGTATCTTAAAACTAATACCTTAACTGTAATCAGAACAGGAACCGTACAGGTACCAAAAAGTATAACTGTTTTGAACTTAAATAAAGAAAAGAACCCGAATTTGGAACAAGTTTTAAATCCGTGGCTAATAAAATAATATGAAATAAAATTGTAACAAAGTTACAACACTTAAGTAAGAACTTACCCATTTTACTTAGCAAGCCTATGATACACTGTTGGTCCGCCGCGTGCAATACTTCAGTCAAGTTGCTCGCTATGGGTAATGCAAGTGTATGGACACGTATTCTTCTTTCACCTGTGCATAAAATAAAACTTTAGTATTTCCTTATTTTTATTCCGCTTGCTTGATCTAGTTCTTTTTTTTCCATATCAATCCATAACAATCTACTGCTTGACTACAATAGTACACATAGTACTACAAATACACAAAAAACAAATCGTTGTATGGAATGAACAGGGACAATTTCAAGATTTGAAGCAGATTTTTAACATATTAAGTTTGTTTGAATAAAATAAAATAGAAGAGAATAATTTATATTTAATATAGAGTATATGGGAGCCGTGGTAGCTAAGATGGTTAGCGCTAGCTGTAAATTACATAGTACACGAGAAACCTGAGTTCGATCCCCGCCGGCACCGATGAAATTGTTAATTGCAATTTTAAGTTCCATTTACCACGTGCTCGACGGTGAAGCAATACAACGTGAAGAAATCTGCATGTCCGAGAAATAATAAAAAAATATTTCGAAGACATGTGAAGATCATCAACACGCATTGGGGCAGCATGGCGGATACTTTTTTGCCCTAAAACCCTCTCAGGTATGAAAGGAGGCGTATGCCCAATAGTAAGACGTATATAGGCTGTAATTTTAACAATATAGAAGAATATTACAAGAATATAATTATTATACCTCATAAGCCATTTATGCCTTTACCACCGGTTTGGAAAAAACATCTGTCCTGGAAAAAGCCAGCAAGAAACCCAATGGGACTAATTTTTTAATTATTTTAGAAACAGCTAATAGACATGGATTCAAGGCATATGCACCCGCAAACACCCCTGTACTCAAGTGCAAAAATATGATACAAAAACAAATCAAGAAAAATATTTTTTACCTTTACTACTAGTGTACAGCAAAGCAGCTTGGAAGCAAACTTGTTGCAAGTCTGAGAGTGATTCCTCTATCGTAAGCTGCATTCCGAAACCAGCATCAGGTGAAACATTTGGTAAAGACAGCAGATCCGTCGAGCGGACGAAGAAATTGCCGTGGAACGTATGAATTGAAATGCCTCTGCAAATAAACAAAACAAATATTTATGAATGATATCAGACGCTTAAAAGGCAATGGCGAACTGCCAACAAATTTTATGTGACTTTTTTTTTCTTGCGTCTACAAATGCAAAATATGTAAAAATATAGAGTTTAAAATAATAAACTTTTTTTTCGGTCATACTACTGCAGGAAGTCAGGAATCAAAGATATTCCAGTTTAAACAAAATACACATCAGATTAGGCTGTATGGTATAAAACGCCTTAAGAGCGTATATTCAAATTTGCGCATGTCAAAATCGCTCTGGAACGGCGTAATATTGAAGCACACTACAATGTTCTCTGTGTGCGTGACTGCTCGAGGTGAGGCGAGCGCAAGGTACTAGCTGTATCTAGCACGAATCACCTTGATACTATTGGTACTAAAAGAATAAAATAACTTCCATATAATAGCTTATGAGGTCTGTGCTAAGATATATAAGAGTTAATATCCGATCTAGCCCCGACATTGGAAGCTGATATGTATAAATTATTGTATATTCTTTTAGTAAATTTAAGTCGGTTTTTCCTTTTTACTCTATTGAGTAAACTAAGGAATGTCACAACGCCAAGTTAACAACTGGAAAGGGGTAGGTAATATATTGTGTTCGAATTAAAAATATGTTTTATATAAATAGATTTCGTTTGACATACATTTATTCTGTTTCATAATATAAAGATAATTCAGCAAAATAACAATTTCATTGGTGTCGGCAGGGATCGAACCGGGTTGCTCGCGTTTACGGAGAGCACTTCGTCTTTGCGCTACCACGGCTCATATCTTTTTGTTTCTATTTTATAATAATGTTACCCCCACACTAAGAATGTTTCCTAAGTATTTAGTGGAGGCAGGTAACATAAGAACATAAATTTAACAAGTACAAACATCCAGATCCAGAACAATATTTAGTAGGTATACAAATTTTTGTTCCGTGCGGGAATCGAACCCGCGGCCCTTAGAGTTAAACTCATTGCTGAGCCACTCCGCCACTCTGCCGTCAAATATATCTTTTATATGGATAAATATTTTAGTTATAAATTGCTTACTATTAAATAAACTTATTAAATTATTAATAAATTAATTAAATAATATCATTTAACAAAGTATCATTCGTTGTGTAATGTGTTGTCAGCGAATTATTATTTATTCTGTAGCTGCACCTTCATCATTTCCATTTGTGTCCAAGTAAATTTGGGAATTTGGTTTTAAAATCGGGACAAATACAATAGCTACATAAAATAGAATTTTTTGTAGCCATTGTGGTCGCTATTAGTTATACTACTTTTTCTTGATACAATTCGCAATGTGTTTTATAATTATTTTTTAGAACTGATCAAGTGAACGAATAATTTTTCATCCCAACATCGTTGCAGACTGAACTTTCTAAATAATATAATTGTGAAAATAGTAGTCAATCTTCTGAACTCACAACTCATGCACTTCAAAAAGCCCTTTAAAAAAACCGCATAATTCAAACGGTTTTAATACCTAACATATTGATAGCCTAGATAAAATCCTTGCATCGAACGTATAATGTTTATGTATTGAAAACAACAGTACCTACAAACAATTGATGAAATTGACTTGTGGATCTCTAATCTAAACTGCAGCAAAAATAATCTAAACTGCAGCATGTCAGTTAAATACTGTACTGATTATTAGTAATAGAATGAAATAATAAATAACCGTCGAATCAATGACATCGATGCATAGCACTAACCGGCGATAGATACATGATTGATATTTGTATCTTGCCATGTCAACACATTACGCGCAAAGCAAACTTTGATGTTGCCTATTTAGTCCGAGTTTGGAGGGAAAATATGCAAAGCAAAAGTATTTTAATGTAGTAGCAGCTTACAGATATATTAAATTTTGCTGTCAAAACAATCGATCGAAATATAGACTAGGGAGGTTAGTGAAAATTTGGGACATTTGACGTCCCGATCAAGGGTGCATCGGGACGTACCCCTAAAAATCGCGACGTCCCGCACAAATCGGGATATTTAGTGCGGTTTTACAGTGACGCTTACCGTCAGCGCGGGTAGCAAGCGCGGTCCGTAAGCGCGCGAATGACCCGCTCGAAACTTTAAAACGAGCTTAGTGTCGCGCGGTTTGCTGCCTCGTACACTCGTGATCGGTTTGTCGTGATGAGACTTCTCGCATTTATTATTCTATATTACGTATGGAAAAAGACGACGACGTATACGAGTACATCCTAGTACATCCTTAAACTGCCACTAGCCTGCCGAGAGGCGCGGTCTCTACATCGTACTGTTGTACTGTTGTAGCGGAATCGCCGCCAGCGCGGACCATACGCGCGTGTTGATTAAACTATGTAACGATCCAAGAGATGTAAAACCACACATAGCAATATTAGCTTACGCTATCGGGGTGAATTAACACGCACGCGGGCGGTGGCGGGAAAAGTGATACGTCCTATTGTTGGGAAGACCCGGAGCATATGGAATCGGACGGCGTCTGCGCGTGTTGATTTATAATATTTTTAAAATAATCATATTTAATAATTAACAAAATAAAACGAGCCAAAATTTTTTCTGCAATTTACCATTACCTGTATTTTTATAAAATAATTAAAGTAGACAAGTTTGTATCCCAATACACGGGGAAAAAATGACATTGAAGTGGACAGTTTTGGTGATTTTATAGTATTGTTTTTAATATTAAAACAAAATATTTTCGTAATTTAAGCTTTGATATACACTAAAAGACTATATATTCTATTATAATAACGCTTAAAATAAAGTATTTTCGTTTATAATAATGGTTGTATTCGACTTGAAAGATAACTCTGACGCATATTTTCGTAAAACGCTATGAAGGGATTGTCTTCGCTCAAAAAAACCGTCATAAAAAACTATGATTTTGCATTGCAGTGCACTAAATAAAGACTTCATCTTTCTAAAGCCGTAATTTTCTGCAAATAATCTGCTCACATCGTTACGATATCGCCCTTGAAAAAACCCTAAAACATGAAGTTTTCGACGCAAATCGCATATGCCCTCTTAATTGGCAAATCGTTACAACAACAACTAGTTATAGTTCATAAAAGATAGCTTGATCTCTGCGACAGCTGTCAGTAAAAATCACGCCTATGAAGTCCTGAATTTCTTAGTAGTACAGCCAGTACCTGTCAATGTCATACTTTATGGGTATGCAGACCTAATTAGTGCATTTCATCATATCATTTTCATATATGTTTATATAGGGTATTACTAACATAGAAGGAATCCTTAAAGAACGCATTAGTATATATAGAAGAGTATTCTCAATAAAACACACGTCAAAACTGGGCTGTATGGTATAAGACCTTTGCCTGTCTTAACTTACGAATCTTACCTACAAAAAAATTACAAGCTGGTACTTAATCGTATACCTAAATCACAAAAAATACGGCAAAAGTTGCCTTACCATGTGTGTCCGAATATATAACAAACTCCCTGACGAACTTAAAACCCTAAACATTACATTGTTCAAAAAGAAATTGTACAAATGGCTTAATGAAAATAATCCCTATAACGTAAAACAATTATTGGATAGTAAAAATTCGATTATGTATCGGATAATATTTATTTTAAAAACTTTAATTTAATTATTATTGTTAAAGTATAGTTACAATATATCTTTAAGTTATGCGAATTTTTACTAGGTATTAAAATTGACGATGCTCAGAATTGACATTTAATTAATTATTATAATATGACTTCTCTATACTTTATTTTTAACTAAATCATGTGACTAATTATTGTATTCCAAATAGCTAAGGAAATATTTGACATTGTTTAAAAATATTTGCATGCTATGTAAAATAAGCAAAACATGAGCACCCGTTCTTTCATGTTAACAACATTTATGCCATATTTTAAGCAAACAAAGATTATTATTATTATACAACAAGTCAATTGTAACGGTGACATAAGTAGATGCTTAATAATTCCATCAACAATTTGCCACAACAACTAGTCAATTTAGTTTTAAATTAGATAAGATGATTTCTTCCAAACTTTGATAGGCCATGAGCTTGATTAGATAACACAAAGTAAATTATTTTATTGATATCCGTAATGGTGACTTAAGTAGATGCCTACCTAATAATTCCATCACATATTATGCCATTGTCCTTTGAATAGATTATAAAGACTAGGATAAAAAAAATAGAAAGGTAGAGTAAATGGATTAGGATAAAAACTGTTAACAATTTTTAACCTTATTTTTTTACATGGGTGTAACCATACCTAGTACATCTAACCCGCATGACGGCTTCAAATCCGATCTTCCTGGTGAGGTATCGTGTAAGCATACGAGTCAGTTGTTCAGCCTGCCAGTTTCGAGCTGCCCGGAACAATGGGATGTGGTATACTGTGCCAGCGCTGAACTTGCTCATTCCGCCTGTAACGAACAAAATTAAAATTTTACATGCTTAATAATAATAATACTTTCTACTATGATATATAGGTCGTTCCTAGAAAACGCACCATTTGTAAAGACTTGTGGATCTGACCTTACTCAACATGCAATGGGTTAGGTAATGGGGTATGCTGATTTCCATCACGCTGTTATATTCAGCATACAAGGGGTTGGGGAATGGGGTATGCCAATACCCTATTACGCTGTGAGCTTGAATTTAATATTTTTGCTGATGCTGCTGCCTATGTCCTGGTATGTTTCTCTCTGTCACGTCTTACGACACCCACGGAACTAAATGGAGTAGTGAATATTTATTTATACTTTCATGCACAAAGTAGTACATATGGCGGAGTTAATGCCATAACACATTCTCTCCCAGTCAACCATTAGGCTAAATAGAGATAGACATATAAGAGGCAGTGCAGCAATAATCAAAATAGAGGGTTAAAAAATTATATATATAATACAATATAATTATATATATATATATATATATATATATATATATATACAACATGTAACAAAAACCCTGTGATTCCCGTTAACTGCATTATCAGATTCAGTATCCACGTATATAGAAATATTTTTTTAAATATTTCTATACGCTTGGATACTGATTCTGATAACACACTTAACGGGAACCACAGGGTTTTTGTTACATTATGTATTATTGTTATTTATACATAAACACCTTAGCAGCTAAACAGAGCTGTGCGTGTGCATCTTAATGTTTGGAGATTTTATCCAATCTTCTTGAAAAATGCAAAATAACAACATTTTTTTTTAGTAAAATTTCAATTTTTCCTTAAGTCCCTCAATTTTTGTTGTCCAAGACAGGAAGAAAGTATGAAGGAAAAGTTACATCACAGGTAATGTGTACCTATTGTGTTTTTATTGGAATGTGTAGGTAGCTAGCGCGGGCGGTGATCTTTACAGTGATTACGTCACTCGGGCGCATAGGATATCCATGAATTTACGGACGGTGTCGGACGGAAACTTTTTAAATTTTATGAAAAAATAGCGTTTTTCTTTAAATTCATGAAATTATGTTCTATAAGTAAAACCAAACCACTGGTTTCAAGGATAACGGTGTTTACACTAACTACCCTGTATATATATATAAAACAAACAAATAAACAAATTTGATGGTGTTACAAGCTGTCGCAGCCACCTAGATTAATTAGCCGTTCAATTAACAGCTTAACCTTTTTATGTTTAACTATTGGCCTGAATGATATTTAGCCGCTCCGTCTAATACAACAATGCAACTATCTTGACCCAAAACCGCGCATATTTATATGATATAGCGTAGACATGTTTCAATTATTCATTTTTAATGACAGAATCATTCTAGTACACTTCACATACATATACATTCAGTACATTCGGATCAATCATTCCAATGGATCATTTCGGGCTCCAGTACTCTGTGACTCGGTGAGATCCATTGGGAACCGAAAATTTTCTATTTGATTTTGGAATAGCGCTATCTACTACATGCTATAGGTAATAGTAATTTTATCGAATAAAAATTTATTGACTTTCAAGGTTGTAAGTACAAAAGACAAAGGACTAGATGGCATGAACACAAAAACTTCAATTGATTTGATTTGATTGATAACTTTATTTAATATTATATATATTTTATTTATTTAATAAATTTATTTTTAAATATTTCGTCTTACTTATTGATATGATTTTTTTTGTTTTTAGGCCATCTAGCATCTGTTGTGCGTCTCATCAACCATCTACCACCTTCTCTTCCAAGTGACCACGAAATTGCACGTCACTCGATATGTCGACGCCGAGGATTCCGATACTGGCTGAGGCAAGGGGACAAGGGGAGTGCTTTGAAACTGAGGAGATACGACAAAGGGGCTCTTTTTAGCGGTTAACGCGCAAACTAGTGTCTTCTGAGGGTTAAACTGGACTAGATTTAGGTAGTCGCCCCCAATCCGAGACTTTTTTCAGCAAAGACTCGACTTCAGGCACAAGTTTGTCCCGGTACTCGGAGACGTTTTTCCGAGAAATATTGGCACGGCCAGTGTACAGAGCATCACCAGTGCTGTCATCTGCATAATAATGAATGTTACGGGTTTGCAACATACCATTGATATGCAGAAGAAACAGCGTTGGCGATAGCACGCAGCCTTGTGGAACACCAGCATTAATAGGCTTGTAATTGGAGCTTGCACCATCTACAATGACCTTGATGGTCCGATCTGCAAGAAAGCTGGTGATCCAATTGCACAATTTCTCGGGAAGCCCATAGGCAGGGAGCAAAGAAAGAGACCAGCAGATCGGCTTTCTCCTTTGCGGTATGGGCCAGCGAGTTGTCCTCCCTGTACAGAGATGGAAGAGATGGCTGACAGAAATTCCCGTAAACAGCCTTGTCGAGAGACCAGAATGCACGGGTTCCAGAAGTAAGGCGAACTAGTTTCTCGCCAATTCTGTTTATGTGTTCTGACTTTGGCTTGGCAATGACTCTTTTGAAGGACCTGGAGGCGGAATCATACTTCTTTTTTGGAGCGCTGGTGTTTACATCCCGGGACGTTGATGCGTCAGCCCAGGCTTGGTAGGACTCCTGCTTATAGCATGATGCTATTTTACAGGAGCGACCAAACTATGGCTGAGATTTGCCTCCAATGGGCACTAAAGAGGAAGGAATAAAAAGTTCCATACCCTGAAGTACCACATCAGCAACAGAATCTGCAACAACGTTGAGATCGTCCGGCGAGAAGCAAACCCGCCCCCAAGGGTAGAATGCAAAGAAAGACCGCATCCCATCCCAATCGGCTGACCTATAGTGCCAAACACGGCGGCAGCCTGCAGAATGCAACTGCGATTTCAGCGTGAGTGGCACCACACTCCGGACAAGACAATGGTCCGAGGAGCCTAAAGGGGCGTCGAAGGAAATCTGATATCCGTCCGAGTGAGAAGTCAGCAGAAGGTAAAACAGGGAAGGTGCATGATTCTCCACATCTAGAATCCGCGTAGGCGAAGTAACCAGTTGTGTCAGACCATATGCCAAGGCAAATCATGAACAGATCTCCCCGCAGGATCGGTTAAATGTGAACCAAGCCATTCGGCGTGATGGGCGTTAAAATCGCCGAGGATCACGATCTCTGCGGAGGGGATCTGCTGTAGCAACGAATCTTTAGCCATTTGGACGTGGTCGAAGAGTCGGTCTGTTTGGGCATTACCGCTATGGGACCTATAGAGGCCCCCGAAGACGTGCGGATTGTCGTCGCTGTCTACGCGTAGCAAAATGATGGACAGGTCCTAACTTTCAAGACCGCCGAGGCGTCGAGAACAGATGTCCTCTCTGACGTAAACGCTAACTCCAGCCCGAGGCACAAAGGAGTGTTCCAGTTTGTACCCCGGGTAGGAGACATACGACGCATCATCCGGAGAGGACACCTGCGTCTCGGTCAGAAAGAGCAGAGCCGGCCTCGCCGTCTCGAGATGGTAGTGGACGGCGCTTAGGTTAGAGTGAAGTCCCCTGATATTGCAGAAATTCACGGACAGCGTGGCAGGGGTCGCCTTGGTCTTGTTGCTCGTTTGTCTCGAGCAGTTGTAGTCTTGAGCGGAATTTCCCCTCCCCCCCTCCCCAGAATACGCGGCGCAGCCTGAGCACCCACGCTCAGGAGTGGAGTAACTTGGTCGTGGATGCTCAGCGAGGGATTCTCCAGGGGTGCTGGTACCTTCCTGGGGTAGTCTAACATTTAATTTCGCTACTATGTCGATGGGGGGGGGGGGGAATTGGGCCGCCGTCCAACCGCACTCACCAGACGAAACGCGGAAACAGAGCTTCCACTTCACGCCGGTATTCTGTGAGGTCGTGGTACCACCCCGGTTTGAGCCGGCCCATACGTGCAACAGCAAAGCTGCCGCGTGACTCTACCACTGTTAATAATTGCTTGACAGGCGAATTTCTTCGCCGATGAGATTCGATTCGATTCGGCGCGCCTCAGTCGACGCGGAGAAGTTGATGCGCGCCAACGTATTATTATCAATTTCTATTTAGTTTTCATAAAAATCTTTTTGTTTAAATAAAAATGAATGAAGAACTTTTTCATAGGATTAACGAAGTATTAAAAAATTTAAGAGGATCCCTTTTCAAATCTGAATTCTAGATATAAATGATGAAATTCGCCATAGTTATTTCTTTTCATATAAATATCGTGTATCCGGAATTTCGTTTTTTTTTTCTATTCTCCTCTGCTTCTTCAAAAACTATTTGAAATAAATCTAACATCTCGTCATATGAGCTGTCCATGACGCAAAAACGACCTAATTTGATGAAGAGTTTGCGATGAATGAGCGATTCGATTCGATTCTTCAGAGATGGACGCACTAGGAGTAAATGCGACTCGCTTCGATTCGACGCGTTTCTACTGTAATCGACGCCAGGATTTACACCACGACACTTAGATTTGGCTGGCTACATGGGAAGGCAATTAACAATAGCAATTAGCAAAGATAACAATTTTTTGTAACATTTGATCAATACAAATACATAATAGTATACCGGTAAATGAAATGGCTATACAGTAGGAAAATAGACTCATTTCTATTGAAATACTTTTTATAAGTTGCCAACATAATTTTTATAGTAATAAACATTTTACTTGTATATTTTTAATTATTAATAGAAATTATTACTAAACATAGGTTTTAAATTACAATATGTAGTAATTCAATAACATTGTTGTCAGCTTCCCATTTTTAAGGTGTTTACTCACTGAGTGTGGCAAGATCGCAGTACTGCGAACTGAGCAGAAACAGGTCGACTGCAACCTGTGCTCCACTGCAGTCTAACGCCAGTCGCTTGTAGAAGTCGCTCGCTGGATTTAAATGGGCAACTTCTTTCGCTGACCGAGCATTCGGATCTTCTCTGTAAAACAAAAAACAGTTTAGAACTTCATAAACAAAATCTTACATATCTATCATACAGTGGTGAAGCTAGGACTCCAAACTAGGGCAAGCCCAAAATATGGTTTTGTTGTTTTTAGCAGTTTTATAAAAATACACCAATCTTGATCTGTCTCCACTCTTTAGTCTCATATTCAGTGCCGTCGAGGACGTGTTTAACAAATTACACTGAAGGCATACTACTTCTAGATAGATTGTATGACGTATCAGCAATTGCACACCTTCGGTGGCTTTTAAAAGAGCCGTTTGTGTTTGTTTGAGCGAAAAAAAGATATTTACATACAATACAATACATGAATAAAAGAAAAGCATGAACAAAGTACAAACACACTATGTAAAAAATCACAAAAAGGGACGCCTGGCAGATGCGAAACATCGAAATAGAAGGACAGATTACGACAGGAATTAGATATGGTATAATGAAAAGATAAAAAAGCATTACAAATTTTTTACATAAAATAATGACTGTTTATTATATAATTATTCATTTTAAATTTTAATAAACCGTACAAAATGATATTTTTAACTCATATGGTAATATAAATATTGAATTATTAAATTAGTCGATAGCGTGTTTGTGCCATTTAGCGTATTTTTTACCTACCACCGTGAGAGTCAGTCAATTTTCGTTTGATAAAATAACTTCACCTATAGAGTTAAGTAGATAGCGCTATTAAAATTTTATATGCTGAAGGACTAAAGGAAATACTCTTTAAAAAACCTCAATACATGTATTCTTTTGATTTGTTACATTAAAATTTAGGCTTCACATTAAAAATATTGTAACAATTATTTACTATAAAATTAAACTTATACCTATCTCATATTTTATGCTGCCGTTCAAAATGATATTTTAAACTCATATGGATAAATATTTATTAAACCTTTAAATACGCCTAGCTTAAATAAACTTTTAATACTAAAGAGTCCTGTGCCTATTTATAGTATAAATAAAATGTTTATTGAATTAAAATTTAATTTTTAATGATTTTACCTATGCCTCGCCAATTAGCACTTTAACACACTTCAATTCATCACAAGGAACACTATTATCCTCCAATTTTCACTTAAAATCTTTGAAAAAGCATAAATTTTCAACAGACACAACAAAAACAAACATAAACATTGAATTGTGAAGTGAACTTGCAAACGTATCGCCCGTATTCGTTCTCGCTAGCGTACTCCTAAACAATTTCATAGCAAAGCCCAGCTTTTGGTTCCATAGTAATTGCTATATAAACATTTCGTACTTATATTTCATTATTAACATTTTGCCACAGCGATCGAAAGCCCGGTAAAAAGCCAACACGTGCGAGAAAGACGACAAAATCAACTCCTTGCTTTCATTAACTTTGACAGTCCAGTGTATTTCGAATTGAAAGCAAACTGCCATGTCTTATCGTTACATATATGCTACGAAGTTATGACCTGTCTGGAAAAGAGGTGTGCGCGAGAAATTTAAAATAGTTTGAAACAGTTTACGAGTTATTTTATTAGTTGATATTATTGAGCAGTGTGATAAAGCAAACCCGGCTTCTGGGCTTCTATGTAGGCTTCGCCACTGCTATCATATAAACTGCTTGAATTTTTTTATTACCTTGATTGCAAAGCTCCTGGTCCGATGTTAGGCAGACAAGTTTGAAATACTGTGATGCGTCCTCCAGTTGGTGCCTGAATACAAAGAGAAATAATATTAATTCTAACTGCATAAACCGAATAGAAAGAAATGGACATACAATATTTTTTTTCTCAAAATTTTACCATATATCATATACATAGGCCTCTTTCTTTATAAGGATTCGCTAGAATTGCCACGTGTGACACGTGAATTGGCAATCCCAATAACAAAAATCAAGGGTATGTTCCGAAATACAACGCAGTGTACTGTCCAATGCAAATGACGTCATGAATCGTCGCTATACTGGTGATTCGTTCCAAAACATTGGACAGTATATGACGTCATACTTATGCGCCATTTGGAAAAGTGTTGGCGATTATTTTGTCATTTTGTGCTCCAAAAATAGTTATATCCTCCTAATGGATATACCATCAATTATTCTATAATTTTTTGTATTTGAATAAATAGAAACAAATCTGGCATGCTTCATTCGGCAAACACACAATTAAAAATTGTTTTATTATGGCCGGATATCCGACACAATATGACGGCGGCACGCTAGTACAATAAAGTGTCAAATGAAACGTCATTTGCATTGGACAGTACACTGCGTTGTATTTCGGAACATACCCCAAATGAAAACTTCTAATATCTCAACGTAATAAATTGAAATTTCATTTGTCAAACATCGACATGATTTTTATTATTTTTAATCAACTACCGTTTCAAAATAAGGTTCCTCTATTCGAAAAAGAAATAGCGAAATAAATCCGCAGGTATCCATATGTCTACAACATTTGATGGTGAACCTCATTACCCATTATACGTTTTTGACATCCGGAGTAAACATAACCGTTATACTGCCATCTGTCAGAAGCCATGAAACGTCTCTGGCATTTCATGGCTTGCCTCTAACGGCTCCTACGAGACGAAATGAGGTGATGGATTCTCTAGCCACTGCTATCATCATCATCATTATGTCATCCCAAAGCATATGATAGTATTATTAAAAATATTCTCTTCAGCAACTTAAAAACGACAAGACCGCGGATGACTATGGAATTACAAGTCCTCCAGCTCTTCAGATCCATCCTAAAAAGTGGCACTGCTTCAGTACACGATTTCAGTGTCATCATCAGTGTCACTCCTATTCTATAAAAAAAAGTACATCTGCCACTTTGTCTTGAGTACGAGTATGTGGACAATGGGAAATCCTTTGATTCTGTCAAAGTTTGGGCGGTGCGACAGTCCCTTCAGCGGTGGAAAGTACGTAAATTTAATTACTAAAGTTCTTGTACTGTATGTACGACTCTGATTCTGTACTTGAAGACCTGGCTGGTACAAAACCTGTCAATTGTAGAGAGGTAAGACATGGTGATGTTATATCCCCGAAACTCTTCACTTGTGCATGGGAAGATATTTTGAAGCTAAAGCAAAAGGTTACGGTATCATTAATGGTAAGTACACAACTTAACTTCGATTTGCTGACAATATAGACCTTATGCCAGAATCAATGACCTCAATAGTATTTTTCAAATGATTGGTTTTAAAATGAAGATGTATAAGACAATAGTTGTGGTTAAAGTCCATATCACATCTACGGCAACAGTTGTTGAGAACACTATGTTTGAAGTCGTTGACAGGTATTGGACAAATAATTACCTATGACATATGGATCAGAAACATGGTCTTCACTCCTAACTGTAAGAGGAAACTAAAGCACAGAATAAATAGTAGTATAGTTGCCGACACGAGTCGTGAGCACAGATAAACTGTGGTGGAAGGTAGGTACACTGTCGGGAAAATTATTGGGTACTTTTATTATTTCAATTCGTAATTGAATATTTTCGCCGACTTTTATGAAAATGTTTATTCGAACACATCAACTTTTACTTTGATACAGTAATATTGCAGATATTCGTGTCCGTTATTTTATTATCTACTATAAAGTATTTAATTTATAACTGGTGGTTAGAATTAATTATTTTATTAAGAAGAAGGAAGAGGTGATATGCCTTCCATAAAATCTACTGAGACATTAGTCGCCTCAACAGTCTATTTATATACGTCTATGATGTTTTCGCAGTACATAATTTTTTAATGTAACTAAACACTGAATAGACCATTTGTCGGGATTGTCTATTTAACACCAAATTCTTCCTTCTCTGCATATTTAGACCAAAATCTGAACACTCAAATTATAACAACAAAAATAATTAAAAACAAGAAATAACAAAAGCAATTAATAACAAGGAGTACAAAAACTACAATTAACAACGAGGTAACAAAAACAATTAAAGAAAATAAAGTAATTAAGAAAGTTATCACTAAAATTATTGCTCTTAAGTGTACGGAAGCCGAATGATACGTTCGAAACCACGAGAATCGACTGATGAACCAATCACGTTGAACGTCAGCGTGGTCAACGTCGTATCGACCAATAAAAAGTGTGCTCACGACTTATGTCGGCAATTATACTACGTACAGAAGTTTCACTCTTTTAATGTTGACTGCTTGCCGACGTTTAATAACCTACATAATTTTTATTAATTAGGTAAATCACGCTCGCAAGCAAAATAAAACTTTATCGCTGCGCGAGAGTGTCCGTATTACTTTGCACATTTTCCTCTTCCTACGTTACGGTGGACTTTCCGTTGTTATGGAGGGATGTCAATAAAGAGTAACAAAATACATTGCGAAATATTAATTATGTTACTTAGGTGAAATACCTATTCTGACTATGATCGACAGACAATACTTTCGCATCTACGTGAGTTCTGCGATGCCTAACGCATGCAACTTGCAAGGCCATTCGTCGGGAATCGCGACGCTTGGCTCGGAAGGAAAAGGTAGATAGTGTAAACAACAAATAAACTTGAAATACGATTCCTAACAGAAATGTAATCGTATTCTACTTAGTTAAAATTTTTGTTGGTAAACAAAGTTTTGATTGTTTTGTGTTATTTTAGCTTAAAATATTTTAAGCTAAAATAACAGCTTAAAACATTTTAATACAAAAGGCAAGTATATGTACGTAAGTATATACTTGTATAGTGAAGTAAATTTCTACTAAATTTTGTAATAAAGTTCGTAGATATTAAATAAATTATTACTTAATTCTTTTTTTGCTATAAGTACCTATCTAACAATAAAAATTAAATAAATTCACGTTTCATAACTTCCTACTAAAATCCTTCGGTAATAAAGAATGATATATCTGAAATATTTTGTTGGTCATTTAGCGTCTATCCACGCAACAATTATAGTAGGAATGACGTTTTGCCATATTAAAATTTATTAAATAATGGGTAATATACATAATATATAGTTCTTAAATTACATTAAAACTTTTGAACTATTTTATCCTATAATTAAATATACTAAACACCAAACAAAAACTATTTCAACAATATTTACAAAAAGTTATATACGTCAACAGCGTTAAAAAACTTTAACATTCAATCGCCTCCAACGCGCTAGCCCTGACTGCGTTATTTCGCCCGGGAGCGTCGCGATTTTAGGTAATTATTTCACGCAGGTAGCAAGAGTGATATAAGCCTGACTAAAGGTAGTTCAGCGAGTTATTATATATGCTCAAAGATCCAACGATGGAATTCAAAATAAAGATATCCTTAGTCGAACCACAGTAACCGACATAGCCCAACGAGTCAATAAGCTTAAGTATGGCTGGCCTATCGCCAGACCGACCATATAGCTCAGAGCATCGAGACGGGCAAGCAAGGCTCTTCACAGAAGGAATGACGACCTGGTAAGGCATACAGAGAATTGATGGACAAAGTTGTTATAGTCGCTTACTATCGTTATTTTTACCGACTTCAAAAAGAATATTCAATTCGAATGTATGTTTATTTATGTGTGTTACCTCGTCGTAACTTTTCTCTGGGTGAACCGATTTTGATGATTCCTTTTTTATCTGAAAGCTGATGCTTCTCGTGTGAAGTCCCATATAAATTTAATCAAGATTACCACCTGATCAGTATTTTTTGAGTAAACTTTAATAATGCGTATTTAATTGACTTTGAATACATTGATGATATTCTCATTTTAATTATATTGAAGTAGGTTGTACAAAATGTTTAATTCCACCACTTGTGTTCATTTTTAAACAGAAAAGTAAAACAATATATGGCTTCAGAAATAATAATGACTCACCATAAGCTTGTACCCCGCTAATAAAGCGGCTCCTAGCGCTGACACTGGCACTCCTGGAGTGGAATACCTCCCAGGCAAAACTGTTAACAACTCTTTAACCAAATCACGACATTCTCCCAGATTCACCAACAAGGATTCAGGTGATGGTAAAAACACATCTGAAAAAAGGTAAAAAAGAATTTACAATTTTTATAAAATAAAATATAATATTTTTTTATATTTACGCGAATGAAATATTGAATAAAACTACTTTTATGAAAGAGAGCCCCCGTGAACATAGGTGCTGCAAAGTACTCGAAACGACGGGAGTTAAAACGAGTAAAGCTAAACGCAATAAAATCCGTAAGTCGTTTTATTCAATAATACAGTATGTTATTAAAATTGGCTTTCTTTCCATTGCATACAGTACACCTAGGGTTTGGGAATTCCCGACAATTTCAAAGTCCCGGGACACGAGACAACCTACAATCAAACTCCCGGGAATTCCCGGGACTTCTAGACTTAAGAATAAATTTTTTTAAGAGGGGTAAGCTTTTTTTGAAGAATTTTAATTGAGTTTATCTCTGGTGAAACGAATTAAAAAAGGCGATTTTTTGTAAAAATCAACATTTCTTAAACAGAAATTTAATCAATTCGTTAACTTCAGACTTAATAACCGCTTTGTTTATTTCTTTTATTTACACACACATTTACTTTTAAGCGGTTAAATCTAATAGTTATAAATCGAAATTAGTTAAAAATCATACTGATTCCTAATAACTTTACTATTATCTAGTAATTCTTGTATCTAATCATTGGTCATAATCACAGATTTGTTTCATAACACATTAATTAGACTTCTTTGCCGATTTAGTAAAATAGGCTTTTAAAATAGGCGTTTAATTGTGTTTAAGGCTTTATTCATTAGTTACAAACTTTCTGTACGTTTTCCGGTTGCTTCAAACAACTGAAACTCCTTTCTTAATGTTGCTCTTTTTTTTTTCAGAATCTTGGGTACATTTTCTTGGATATTTTTATTGCTTATTCCATTTGATTTACAAAATACTCGCCAGGCTCGTTGTGTACTTGAAAGCTACTAGTGCTAGGTTCAGCGCCCATTGTTTCCACCTCTGGTGTCCGGATACCAGGGATATTTTAAAATATCCCTATTTCTTTTTGTATTTTATTTTGTATTGTTACAGTTCTTTCGCAAAGCCAATTAGTGCAGTTATACTTTTAGTAATAGTTAGTGCAGTTATATATATATATATTTGAGGTAAAAAAGTCAGTATTTTGAGAGTGTGAGGTGACCATTGTGCAAATGTTTTAACGAGCATACAACCCGTTGTGGTCTTCTTTCTTCCAGGTGAACTTTCAAAGTTTCGAAGAAGAGTTTCGCCAAATTATTATTAGTCGTTATCGATTGAATCTTTTTGAGCAACATGTCAATTATTGCTTCGGTTGTAAACAATGAAGCGTTTTGTCGACCTAAGACTTCCACAGCTATCTTTACTGGCTGCAAAAAATCAACAATTGACTACAAAAGAAGAAGATTTTCTTCATTCCACCTGTCTAACATATTTAAATCAATCAACGCTTTCTTCACGCAATTTTTGAGCTTCAAAAACCGTTCCGCCATCACACAAAAGAAACACCACACCACACTCACATCATAAATGAAATTGACGACTGACTACAGAATAACTAATATGGTGTTATGATGACTGTGTGGCAAACGCATTTATTGTGCTGTGTACTCAGTAGTTACGTAGTAGACCAAGTAATTATTTATTAAACTAACAGATGGCGCTAGGCTTCTTCAATTATTTGAAAATAAAAATGATTACATAACAATTTCGACGATCTTGTCTCATCTCGAGTCTCGATCCGAAAGTCCCGGGACTCGAGACAACCAAAATTACGAAAAGTCCCGAGACTTCGAGACAGGAGACGTCCCGGGACCCAAACCCTAAGTACACTGCTAGGCATAGGTATCTGTCATAACACAGGAAGGATTTTCTGTAATCTCTACACTTTTCACCTTGCACCTTTGACGCAGACGTAACATGATTTAGCCAAACTACAGATATATAATGGCGGTATCATAAATGGGTCAGCTCTATCAGGGTAGGTACCCAAGTTTCACATAATACCAGCATAATTAGTGTATTACATATGGTGTATGTAGAGAACCGGGAAAGCTTTTTACTGATAATGAGGCATTCCATCTTAGTTCTCGGAGAGAACATCGTATCTAAATTTTCAACCTCAATCGAAGATAGATAGAGTTGTCTATTTGCTCTAGCATCCGCTTAACATCACGAAACCGTGTGCCCATTTGTTACACTTACAGTATAAAAAGTACACATAGATGTCGATTGGGGGTATTTCACTATCAATTAGAAAATATACTAGGAATATCTCTTGTACCTGGGAGACTTTTAACTTAAATTACACATGAACAAACACAAAAACATGAAAACGTATGTACCATTGCTTGATCAGAGATTAGTGCTTCCCTGATCTAGCCGACCCATTTGTGCTGCAACCATAATATAGGTAAAGTTGTAACCAAGTTGAAAATGGGGCAGGTAAACATATTAGTCCCTCTACAATAAATATAATTTCTGAATCTTCAACTTTTATGTTCATTACAAGAGCTTACATATAATATACTGGATGACCTTTTTTACCATCTGAAAAATAATGGGGTGTAACATGTAAACGAAGTAGAAGCCTATGGCACTGATATTTTACAAAAAAATAAAAACAAGTCTTGTTTTAAACATTTGAAGAAAAAAAAACAATTACTTTGTCCCTTTCCCTTGAGCCTGTGACTCTACGAAGTGACAAGGTCAAAGATGCCTACTAAATTTATTGTTTTATTGACGTTCGTAAAGTAGGGTGAAAATTTTTGTCTTTATTTTTTGTAAAACAATGCCTTAGGCTTTTACTCCATTTACATGTTACGCCCTATTTTTTCCAGACGGTAAAAAACGTCATCAGTACAAATACATATAAGGATAGAAAATAGAGACTGCCAATGCCAGCATGTCTTACCGTCGATATCGAGCACGGTCATTTCTTTGGGCCTCATAAGGCCTTCACCCATGAGATAGTAGTGCACATGTGCATCGTAGCAGATGAAGCCAACTTGCGTCCGCGCATCGCCAGGTAACTCGTCTAACTTCTCTTTCAGTGTGTCACACACCACCTGAAAAATTAAACAGGTGACCTTAAACAGCGTTTTGATTCAAATTCTCCTTAACCGCTCAATCCCCTAGCGGTCTCATGAGACCGCGCTCATATTCCGTCAAATCCTCATCTTATATTATAGACTACTTTTCTTTAAAGAAGTTTGGCATTATAGAATCTACACGAAATTCTTCTATTCTATAGTCTAAACAAAAGTCAATCAATGAATTCTTATTTTTAATCTACCGTAAAATTGCACCATTTTCGTATGGTCGGCAAATGTAAATGGACAGAATAAAAATAAAATACATAAGAGTGACCGCTCGGGATTTGACGGACGAATGCGACTGCGTAGGAATTTTAAGAGGATTGAGAGTTAATGATCAATCATGTAATATAATTAACTAGCAGGCCTGGGTCGTTGTTCTATTCTCTCCGGGATCTGGCGCGATGAATTTCACTCCGAATTCAATCAGAACATTTTACAGCGTAAATATAAAGTTTTAATTAATAACTATCACAGCGCCTATTATTAGCTGTAGATTTAATAATTTGCTTACGTTGCCTTTTTTAAGAGCTATTACGGTTTATAAAACTTACAACGCAATGTACTACAATTTGACTAGCACACGACGCAATGTACTACAAACTGACCTGTGACCAGATATTATATATCTATACCACAACCCGATGATAATACTATAGCATAAAAAATAAAAAAGACAATGTCAGACCTGCAAGTATCCGGAGTCCCTCGCGATTTGCGAGACATCGAAGAGGAACAAGTATACGGCAGGCTGCGGCGGTCGCAGCATATACTCGCCGGGCGCGATGAACTCGATCGTCGCAGACTTGATTTCCGGCCGTCGTGTCGGTTCTCCGTACGATTTGCTCACAGGGTCGTACTGGAACTCTTCGGGCACTGCGATCAAATGAACATTTTTTTTAATTTAATATTCTTCACATCTAATAACCTCATAAACTAATCCCGTTAACCACTCCTTTGAGACGGCGGCTCATGTCCTACTTTATTTTTGGGTGACAAACGAGCACACAGTCTACCTGGTGGTAAGGGGATGCTGTGGCCCATAGACGTTCACATTTATCCTCAATTAAGAATCCAAAAGCAAATGCGTTGTCACCCCTGAGGACTAAGAAACTAAGATGGAATGCCCCGATTCCAGTAAAAAGAGTCTCCGATTCTCTACACTCACCATACGAAACACAGCAGCATTACACTGCTATTTTACGCTGGTGTTTCTATGAGAACGTGGTCCTGCCCCGGTCGAGCCAACCCATTCTGTTACAACTATAATATAGCTGCAGTGTGGCTCTACCACGTAAAAACTACTTACACCTAGGTTGTACATGCTACAGGGCGAAGTACTTCTGCGTTCCGGGTTCGCTCTTAGAGATCTTTTGGGAAACTAAATCGTTGTTAGAGTTCCACAACGGGGCTAGGACGGCTCTAATAACATTAATTCCTCAATCATGGAGTTGCAGAAACCGTCCTATGTAATATAATACAATATAATATACCAAATTAGAGCTGACTATATACTTGAAATTATTACATAATACTTATTAAAAAAAAACAACTTTTATTTACCACTCGTTCGAAAAATACCGCTGTCCTGTGAAGAACTATTAAGAAACCTAGCAGAATTAGTTTTTTAAACATTTAATTGTACAATATTTTTAATATTATTTGCAACAGAATCAGCATGGTATCGATCTCATTCCTAAGGGTATATCATTCATATATTCCTTAAAATTATTATAACCCTTATATTATATACAGTTTTTGTTAAATAAAATTTTTAAAACTTGTTGAATGCAAACACATTTTTTTTAACAAAATTGGTTTTCTGGGAATTTATTGTAAAAGAGTATGTATCTACATTGCGTATAGAATGTATTACTAGATTCGTGAACTCTAATTAATAACTGCCATTACAAGTTTATATTTGTTCTTATTATTAAAAGTATGAAAATCTTTGTTCTTATCAAAGCTAATTTATGTTTTTGTATACACACATTATATTTCTGACATCTAATTTTTCTTACAACATATGCTACAGAACTAAGTCTGTTTGATAATTTATATATGTAGTGCTTCGCATGGAGCAGTGAAATCCACAAGACTCAATCGCTCGTCAATTAAGAGCATCATCATCATCATCATTTTTTTTATAGAAGAGGGGGCAAACGAGCATGCGGCTCACCTGATGTTAAGTGACTACCGCCGCCCATGATCAACACCAGGGGAATTGCAGGTGCGTTGCCGGCCCTTTAGAAAGGTGTAAGCTCTTTTCTTTAAGGTCCCCAGGTCGTATCGGTCCGGAAAAATCGCCGGTGGTAAACTATTCCACAAAGAGGTTGTACGCGAAAGAAAACTCCTTTTGAAATGTACTGTGGTGGACCGCCAAGCATCCAGATGGTGTGGATGGTATCAGGACGTTTGCCGCGTAGTGCGTTCACGAAATTTGGCGGCTGGGATTAATCCGAACAATTCCTCAGAGCACTCTCCATGGTATATGCGAAATAAAATGCAAAGAGATGCAACATCTCTTCGCAGTGCCAGTGAATCGAGCCGATCGGAAAGCACTCGGTCGTCGACGATTCGAGCCGCTCTGCGCTGGATGCGGTCAAGTGGAAGGAGCTGGTACTGGGAAGCCCCAGCCCAGAGATGGGAACAGTATTCCATGTGCGGCCGAACCTGCGCCTTGTAAAGTTGCAGGCGGTGTGCCGGCATGAAATACTGTCCCGCTCTGCTGAGCACGCCAAGCTTTTTGGAGGCCAATTTGGCCTTCTCTTCCAAGTGACCACGAAACTGCACGTCACTCGATATGTCAACGCCGAGGATTCCGATACTGGCTGAGGCAACAAGGGGAGTGCCTTGAAACTGAGGAGATACGACAAAGGGGTTCTTTTGAGCGGTTAACGCGCAAACTTGTGTCTTCTGGGGGTTAAATTGGACTAGATTTAGTCGCCCCCAATCCGAGACTCTGTTCAGCTAGGACTCTACTTCAGACACAAGTTTGTCCCGGCACTCGGAGACGTTTTTCCGAGAAATATTGGCTCGGCCGGTGTAAAGAGCATCACCAGTGCTGTCATCCGCATAACAATGAATGTTACGGGTTTGCAACATATCATTGATATGCAGAAGAAACAGCGTTGGCGATAGCACGCAGCCTTGTGGAACACCAGCATTAATAGGCTTGCAATCGGAGCTTGCATCGTCTACAACGACCTTGATGCTCCGATCTGCAAGAAAGCTGGTGATCCAATCGCATAATTTCTCGGGAAGCCCATAGGAAGGGAGCTTCGAAAGAAGCGCTTTGTGCCAAACCCGATCGAAGGCCTTCGCAATGTCCAAACTAACGGCCAATGCCTCCCCCTTGGACTCTACTGCCTCCGCCCATCTGTGAGTTAGGTAGACCAGAAGATCACCAGCTGACCAACCACGGCGAAAACCGTATTGGGGGTCACTAATCAGCTGGTGATCCTCAAGGTACCTCATGAGCTGGCAGTTTACAATGGACTCCATTGTTTTGGAGAACAAGGAGGTGATGGCGATAGGCCGGTAGTTGGACGGGTCTGAGCGGTCGCCTTTTTTAGGGATCGGGTGGACGAAAGCCGTCTTCCATGATTTTGGGACTACGCCTAGGGAGTAGGAGCACCGGAAAAGACGCGTTAAAACCGGTGCCAACTCTGGAGCACACGTCCTGAGCACAATTGGGGGGATTTCGTCAGGCCCACTCGACTTGTGGATGTCCAGGGAGCCGAACGTGGTGTGGGTTGCGAACCGAGCGCTGTGTGAACTGCACTTCCGGCATGGAGCACTCACACCGCGGGATGGTCGGCGGCGTACTCCCCCCGTCATCGAGAGTCGAGTTGGATGCAAAGAAAGAGCCCAGAAGATCGGCTTTCTCCTTTGCGGTATGGGCCAGTGAGTCGTCCTCCCTGTGCAGAGATGGAAGAGATGGCTGACAGAAATTCCCTTTTTATTATTCATTACAGCCCTTCACAAGTCCACTGCTGAATGTAATGCCACAAAGCACGGTCCTGAGCCACCTGCATCCATCGACTTCCTGCATGTCTTACCAGGTCGTCACTCCATCTAGTAGGGGGTCGCCCTACACTCGAGAACCTTTCTTCCCCATCGGTTATCGGTTCTTCGAGCTATATGGCCGGCCCATTGCCACTTCAGCTTACTAATCCGTTGAGCTATGTCGGTCACTCTGGTTTTACTACGGATATCCTCATTTCTGAGTCTATCACGCAGAGAAACTCCGAGCATAGCCCTCTCCAACGCACGCTGAGCGACCTTGAGCGTCCTCATACGACCAGCAGTGAAGTACCACGTCTCAGATCCGTAAGTCATCACTGGCAACAGGTTGTACTTATTATATTAAGAGCATATTGGTATTCAAATGTTTAACACTAATCACTAACACTAACTTACTAAACACTCCAAACTGAGTAAAAATGCTTGTGCTAAAAGCGGTGAACCACAGTATTCAAATGGCCGATCCAAACCCGCGACTATTTCGATTTCGCGGTACCGTCGCCCCCTCATCGTATTTTTAACTATCATGCTAATGTCGATTTAGATTTAAAATTCACATTTTTTATAACTCTACGAATAACCTACCATGATTTATTTATTTATTAAAACTACTTTTACGGATTTTATCGCGTTTAATTTATTTTTACTTTTAATTCCCAAGGTTTCAGATGCTTTCTAGCCATGGTCACGGGGGACTGAGATGACTGACGTCCCGATGTCGTTGTTAAACCCGGAGTACCTTCAGATTTTTTAATTATTGTTTATGGTCCGATCTGCGCAGAATGAACTTACTGTATACTACTTACTTAGTTTTAATTTAATTAATTACCGGCTCCCAAGCAGGTGGTAGCACCTAACCTCCCTCTCTATTGAAATTATGATGTTTTTTTTTGATTTCAATAGCCTCACGTATCATCCTTGGTAGGAATCGATGTTCTTTCGCGAGTATTTGTGGTCTATCAAATCTGATGTAATGGTTGGAGCCGTCTAGGATATGATCACAAACTGCAGACGCCTTGCCTAAAGAATTGCTTAAGCATACCACTGCAAGACTTCAAGACACAGTAAGGTTTCTGCGTAGATCGGACAATAAATAATAATTAAAAAGCTGAAGGTACTCCAGTTTAACCTGACATCAGGACGTCAGTCACCTCAGTCCCCCGTGACCATGGGTGCTGGAAAACACCCGAAACGTCGGGAATTAAAAATAAAATAAATTAAATGCGACAAAATCCGTAATAGTTTTAATCAATGTGTAGTGTTCTCGTAATATAAGAAATCATTATGGTTTATTTATTTACATTATAAATAAATATAAATTACTGCATATAATAGAAATAACCTTTCCGACTTAGTGCTTGCTATCAGTGTGTGGCCTCTTGCTGTTCAATTTTATTATGATGCATGATTAATGTATACATTCCGATAGGATATTTGGGATTCATTAAAACAAAATGAGGTAATAAAAATTGACTTAAGGTCAAATTTATTTCAAATAAACAAACTGCATGTTCATTTATTTTAAATAAACAAACTGTATGTTCATTTTAAAAGCAAATTTAGCCCAAGCATTCTATTTTTAAATACAAATAGAAACACTTTGGCGTCCTATCTACGAAACCAAGCGGCAAATACCTAGCCTGACGGATTCCCAGGCATAAAAGAAGGCTCCCACTTAATGTTGAGTATTTTAGTTGTTTTAGGTAGAGTCAAGCTTAAACTAAATTATGGTTGTAGCACGAACGGCTCAGCTCGACCGAGGAGAGACCACGTTCTCACAGAATGAAATAGCAGCTTAATGCTGCTGTGTTTCTCATAGTGAATGTAGAGAACCGAAGACCCTTTTTACAGGAAATGAGGCATTCCATGGTAGTCCTCACGGGTGACAATGCATTTGCATTTTGATTCGTAATCTAGGAAAATGTAGATGTTTATAGGCCACAGCATCTACTTACCATCAGGTTGGAGTGTGTGCTCATTTGTCACCAGAGAACCGAAGACCCTTTTTACTGGAAATGAGACATTTCATCGTAGTACTCACGGGTAACAATGCATCTGCATTTTGATTCGTAATCGAGGACAAATGTAGATTTTTATGGGCACAGCATTCATCTTACTATCAGGTTACTTAAAAAAAAAGTTGTGTATTTAATTTTATTTAATTCATTCAGATTACAACTGGTTATTACTTATTAGCCAACTTTAAAAAAGTAAGTCACAAACACAGTTCACAATTCGACTGTGTTTTTATTTATTTTGTATACGTATTATGCGATATCTTTGTAAATTAAGAACCAATTTTCTTGATATTTTTTACTTAACTTATTTAAGTTAACCTTTAGGGGTTGTCCGATGTTAGTCTTGAAAAAATATTTCAACCATAAGAGTGTGACAAAAAATACATACATACATACATAAACACTCACGTCTGTCACCCAGAGGGGTAGGCAGAGACTACGGACTTCCATTTGACACGATCCTGACATACCTCTTTCGCCTCCTTTACATCCATATATCTACGCATACATGCTCGTCGGTTAAGGGTACTTCTAACGTGGCCCATTTTCAAAATATCGCCAATTTGGTCGATAAACTTTTTACTAGGGCGTCCCTTCCCTACTCGGCCATTCACATCTGCCATATAAATTTGCTTTGTCACTCTTTCCTCATTCATTCTTTCTACGTGACCAAACCACCGAAGCATTCCTTTCTTAATCCTGGTCACAACATCATCTTGCATACCACATTTATCTCTTATCACGCAATTTCTCACCCTGTCATTCAGATTACACCCTAGCATATTCCTTAAAGACCGCATTTCTACAGCATTTATTCTACTTTCGTGCTTCTTCTGCCACACCCAGCTTTCACTACCATACATTAAAGTAGGGACTAACACAGCATTATGAATTACCATATGTGCCTGTTTTGACAAATTCTGGTCTACTCTATTCCCTGCATTTACTCGTCGTTCTATATCCCTATCATATCTACCATCCCTGCTAAATACACATCCCAAATACACAAACTCATCCACTTGCTCAATCAACTCTCCTTCTATTCTTATTTCACATACCGTTTTGCTTTCTTCTCTTTCAAAAACCATCACTTTCGTCTTACTTGCGTTCACTTTCATTCCCCTTTCTTTTAATTCCCAGTTCATTAATGTAACCATCATTTGCAACTCTGCCGCCGATGACGCAAGTATGACTTGATCATCGGCATACAAAAGGCATTTGACGGTTAACTCGCCCATTCTTAACCCACATTCTTCATCTTTCAAAGTTTGCAAACACCGGTCCATAAATAGGTTGAACAGCCAAGGGGAAGCCACACAGCCCTGTCTGACACCTTTTTGGATGCCAAACCAGTCCGAGTAGACCCCATTGATCCTGACACAAGCACTAGAGTCCCTATAAAGAGACCTTAATGCCTGTATCAAACCAGCGCTCAACCCATATGAGTTCAGTGTTTGCCATAACACATTCCTGTCCACTCTGTCATAAGCCTCTTCCAAGTCCATGAACGCACAAAAAACTTTCTGGTTTTTGGCCAAAAACTTCTCCGCAATCATGCGCATGGAAAAGACTTGATCTGTACACCCCATTCCCTTTCTAAAACCCGCTTGCACATCCCAAATTTTTCCATCAGTTTCTTTCATAACTCTTTCAATTAACTCCTTAGCATACAGTTTACCCACAATACTAAGCAAGCTGATACCGCGGTAGTTTTTTGCAGTCCTGCTGTGACCCTTTTCCTTTATATATTGGTACTATAACTGCTTTACACCAGTCATCCGGTACCCGTTTTAATTCCCAACATAAATTAAACAAGGTGTACAGCAGGCCTGCCACCACTCCCTCTCCAGTCCTTAGCATCTCGAGTGATACTCTATCATATCCAGCTGCCTTACCTGCTTTCATGCTTTTCATTGCTTTCATTATTTCATCTACACTTATCTCCATACCCCTTTCCATTTCTTTCGGAATTTCTAGTTCATTTAATTCATACGACTCTTCACTCATAAAACGCTTTCAAAGTATTCCTTCCATCTGTTTAAATTCGAAACTTCATCATTCAGAATACATCCATTCTCTTCTCTTATAGCATTTATTATAGGCTGTTTTGTATTTCCCCCTGGCAGTTCTTACGAGTTTCCAGAACATTTTTATGTTAGCCTGGAAATTATCAGATATCCTTCTATCATTCTTATCCGTTCTTTCTTTCTTTTTCTTTTCAACAACTTCTTTTACTCTCTTATTTAGACGTCTAAATTCTGCCTTTTTTCTTTCAATCTCATCATTCATACCAGAAGAATTATCAGCTTTGGTTGCTAGTAAATCTAACCATGCTTTCTTCTTTGATTCAACTTCCACCCGTACCTCATCATCCCACCATAACATATTACTTTTCCTTTCATTTGTTCTCTTACTTACACCGCATACTTCGGTGGCGGTATCCACCAAACCTTTCTTAACAACAAAAAAGTTGAGGTTTTAATGTTAATATTTAGATGACATTGTAGTTGTTACCTTTAGCTTATGATATTCTTTAGTCTACTTAAAAGAGTAAAAAGAATTATAAAAATGAAATAAAAACATACAATAAGACTCACACAAGTAAGTAACTAAAAAGAATTATACTGCTACAACAAAAAGTTACTTACAGTCGTTGACCCTGTAACAAAGGTTGCATTTCCATCGCTTCGAGTCCACAAAGTACACGAACGGGTTGATGTACGTGCGGCACGCGCGACAGCGGACTATCGTCGTGCACTGTATCACTGGCAAATGCTGCAACATTACATACACATATGTAAACTAAATACATGAACAAAACAGTCTATTATTCATTTTTTAACAATGATAGCTGTGAATACTGTGTTAACCCTCTGTAGCGATTATCAAAGCACCGAGCAATTTTGCTACAGTTATAAAAAAAATTTATAACCGTAGCCAAAATGCTCGGTGTATTTCACAGTACGCGAGAAAACCGGGTCCGATCCCCGCCGGCACCATTGAAATTGTTAATTGAAATTTTAAGTGCTGATTTACTACGTGCTCGGCGGCGAAGGAAAACATCGTGAGGAAACCTGTATGTCAGAGAAATAAGAAAAAAAATATTTCGAAGACGTGTGAAGTTCGCCAACACGCATTGGGGCAGCGCGGCGGACTATTGCTTGCCCTAAAACCCTCTCAGAAATGAGGGGAGGCCCGTGCCCAGCTGTGGGACATATATTTTATAAAAAAAAATTGTAAGGAGATTTGAAAAACACTATTGTTTGGGTACAAATATGTACACTGCTATTTTTTTAACTGGTTAAAAAAATAGCAGTGTACATATTTGTCCCCAACAAACATTTAAACATTTTAACAATTTCTAAAATCTCAAAACCCTGACCTTGACCATGGGTAAACTAAACTAATATTTAAGACACAAGCTTGGCTTAGTTTAAATGCTAGCAATTCTTATCTTTTAGTGTACACTTTTCGTTCCAAATTTACAAATATAAAAATTTAATTTATTAAAATTTGAATACGCAACATAAATTACATTCTTAATAAATGTTCACAGCCTTAGTGGTGCAACTTGTATCTTGTTCAAATGAAACGACATCTATATTATATTGTTTTAAAAAATTTTGTTCTACCCGAAAATTAAGAATAGATAATAAGTGTGTACCATATTTTGTTTATCAATAAACATTATCATTATGCGTTACATCATGAGTCCCCCTGTGGCCATGGGTGCTATAAAGTAGTCGATACATCAATAACTTAATTAAACGCGAAAAAATCCGTAAAAAAATCTAGTTTCATTCATGTAAATAGAAATCATTTACTTCTAAAATCTCCATTATTCTGTACATATTATATCTACATTATTTGGGCATGACGTTATTTGCTAAGACAATACTTGATTTGCATTTTAATAAAAGTTATCATATACCATCTATTTAGATGCAGTGGCATGACCTTAATAAAACTTACTTTTATTAAAATGTAAATATATAAATGTATAATGATGCCTTAACCACACAAAAAGACGCAGATGTTTTTACAAAGACACATTGTTTCGTCACCGAGGATGAACATTACATCATAGTGTGTTATTGTATGGGTAAAAATGTAAACTATGTAAACTTAAGCAAATCTATACTATATAAAGTTTTTCACTTAGGAGAAATTTTTTATCCCCCTGCCAAGCGGAGCAAACATCGTAATCCAGGCCACTGGGTTGCCAGCGATCTTACGGAACTAAAACGTGATCCTCCTCTGCTAACCATATAAGGAAGCTCCAAGTTATTCAGCATTGCTATGCTCGGAATTACTCTACGGGATATAATCCATAACGACGATATCCGCAGAAGAACAAGAGTAACTGACATAGCCCAGCGAATCAGTAAGCTGAAGTGGCATGGGCCAGAAATATAGCTCGAAAAACCGATAACCGATGGGGAGGAAAGGATCTCGAGGGACAGCCTTGTATTGGCAAGCACAGTATTGATAGTCCTCCCCCCCCCCATTAGATGGAGTCACGACATGAAGAAACACGCAGAAAGTCATAGGACGCAGATGACTTACGACCTACTGCACTAGGCCCTTGTCCAGCAGGTAGGATTTAAATCTTGTTTAATTAATTTTCCTTTACCTTTGTTTTCATAACTTAAAGCAGGTTTTAATAATTATAGAAGTAATCAAAAGCCGTGGTAGCTTTAGGAGCTTAACGTTCGCTGTAAATTTAACAGTAAGTGAGCAACCCGGGTTCGATTGCCGCCGGCACCAATGAAATTGTCAGTGAAGGAAAACGTGAGGAAACCTGCATGTCTAAAAGATATTTCGAAGTTCGCTAACAAGCATTGGGGCAGCGCAGCGGACACACACTTGCCCAGCAGTGTGACGTAAATAGGCTGTAACATCTTACTTTAGTAATTATATTACCACTTACATTAAGGTCCTTGAAAGGATGAATTAGAATTCCCAACGGCAGTCTGCACTTCTGTAGTAACGAATTGGTATCCGGTATACGATTTATTGTACATCGAAAGATTCTGGAAAAAGAACAATAATTACTTACATGATAGATCAGATGAATTCACATTATATCGTTAACCGTCGTTAACTTAAACGTAACGGAAACTATATGAGAACTATATAAAAACTATACGAGGCCCTCACGGCCTCTTAAGATTTCATCCGCAGTAACCACTTCCGAATATGTTTTTCTTCTGCAATTTCCACCACCGGATAACCAGATGATAGGACAGTCTCCACCACTAACATTCGAACAGTTATGTCCAATACTAGTTATTTAAAAGGGCTGACTCGATTATTTTCCGTTCGCGGCTTTTGGAAGTACATTTTTTGTATTATTTTAATATTGAGAAAATAAACCAAGTGAACTTTTGGACTTATGTGTAAAAGTTTTTTTTTAAAACACCTTCAGAGCGCCCTCCTAACAGAACAAACGGTTTGTTTCATCGCTTATAATACGTACAGCAAATGAGAGGAATAATTTGCCAGCATCTGTCTTTTCTGGTGTCTTCAAGGCGAAAGTAAATAGGTTTTTTAGGTTGAGTTAAGTCAGTGCGCTTTACCATCTTAGGCTGTATCGCCACTTACTATCAGGTAGGATAGTTACCAAGCACTAACCTGTAGTGTACTCAAAAACAACTTAGCGGGATATATCAAGTGTATAACATGCGGAAGCAATAACTCGTTTTCGCCACAAAATACAGTGACAGTATAGCAACGCTTATGTAGTTAAGATCATGGTAGGTAGGTAGTGTAGGATACAATATCAAGATATGAAAATCACATTAGTCAGACTCGTAAGCCCGCGATTTGTGCTTTCGTATAATTTTATGGTATGACTAGAATTATAATCCAATAATAATCATAGATATGGAATTCCCTTAATTAAAATAATGATTTCTTAAATTTACGCGAACACTACACATTGAATAAAACTAAATTTACGGATTTTATCGCGTTTATTTAACTATTACTTATTTTTAATTCCCTTAATTAATTAAATTATATTTAATAAATAATTAAAAAAAATAATATAATAAATAAAATCCGTAAATTTTGTTTTATTCAATTATGGGAAATGCCAATAAAATGTTCTATAGCTTTCGATAGATGGCGGTATAACCAATTCGTTTGATGCAGACATAAATTACCTAGACTTAAACATTTGTCAATCATTCATTTCTCATCACCGAATCATTCTAATACACTTCGTCACGCGTACCGGTACATTCAGATCGATCACCCAAATGCACTACACTAAAAACAATTCATTCGAATCATTCAGGATTCGGTCGGTTTTTTAATCATTCACAAATCACACCAATCATGAGTTGAAAAGGTTACGTCAATTGTTTGTGATTGGTTGTACTGGAACATTCAAAAACAGATGAATGAAAGATCAATACTTTTAAGTGTACCAGCTCAAGCGACCGAATCATTCATGATTGACACATGTCTACCCAGACTGGCGACAGACAATAGCATGAAAGGTGCGAAAAGTCTGGCGCTGTGATCCTCTATTCACCCGTCAAATGTGTGTCATGTGTGTGTGTTGTGCCAAATCCTCTCCACAACGGGAGAAAACCATGTGGACTTATAAAGGCCGACAAAAAAGCAGAACAAATAAAAATAAAGAATAATCAATCAAATGTTGTTATATATAAAATAAGGGTGAAACAAGCACACAGTTCACTTGATGGTAAGTAGATGCTGTGGCCCATCGATTAAGAATCAAATTGCAGATGCGTTGTTATCCTTGAGGACTAAGCTAGAAAGCCTCGTTTCCAATAAAAAAGGTCTCCGGTCCTCTACACCCACAATACGAAACACAGCATCATTAGGTTTAGGTTTAAAGAGTTTATTATCTCAAAAAAGAACAAATATTCACTTATATGAGACTTAAAAATAACATAATTGGTAAAAATAATACATTTAAATACGGTGACTTACATGAATAAAGTTACATAAATATATCGAAATTAGGATTAAAAAAGCACTGTCTTTAAATTAATGTTTGACAGTGCTTTTTTAATTTATTTTTAAATTTTGAAAACGATTTTTCATGAAATACCTCATTCGGTAGGCTATTGTACAATAGCGCTCCCTCAAACTGAATAGTTTTCGAACCATACGTTTTAGTCCTAGCTTTTGGTAATTGTTTCGTGTACAGTGTTTATGTGATTTCGTTTTAAAACTAATGTGGGTGTGTATAGAATCTAAGAGAATTTTTCTGACTAGTATGCACGTATTTGTATAATTGACTTATGGATAATGTATCAGTCTTTTTTATATAGCTCTTTAGTAGGAAAGCGGTAGTCAAGTTGGAATAAAACTTTTAACAATTAGTTCTGGGATATTTGAAGATACTTTATATTAGTTTTAGATGCACTTCCCCAGATCTCTATTAAATATTCTAGTAATGACTTAGCTAGTGAGTTATAAATAATATTTTCGACCTTTATAAGGTATACTACGTGTAGATCTGCGCAAAGCTCCTGGCAATGATGTTATTTTTGACTGCAGGTAATCTAAATCAGCTCGCCATGTTAATTTAGAATCTAAAACGAGACCAAGATATTTTTCTGATTCTGACATTTTAAGTTCTTGGTTATTTATTGTTAAGGGATCGAATTTAGAAAAGTTTTTGTTTTTCGCAGTAAAAACCATGTAAGAAGTTTTTGTTACATTTATAGTGAGCAGATTGTACCGAAACCATTCACTCAGTGTATTTAGATCAGCTTGTGCATCTGATATAATGTCTTGAATTGAATCTCCAAAATAAAATAAACATGTATCATCAGCGTACAAAGATACTTCTCCCGTCAATCCAAGGTTTCCGGTATCATTTATGTAGGTTAAAAATAACAGAGGACCAAGGATGGATCCCTGTGGATGAATATGAATACCACAGCTGATATCACATGGACTACTTTTAAAATTTTCGATTTTCACTACTTGTCGACTTTTCAGGTAAGATTCAAGAACCTTTAAAGCTGATCCAGATACACCAATGTTTTGCAATTTATTGACCAAGATAGAGTGTGAGACGGTGCCGAATGCCTTCTTCAAATCAATGACCTCACCACCCATCACCTACAATTATCTTTTTTTATCAATATTGGTTTTTATTTTGGTAATTAGATCGATTGTAGCCGAAAGAAGATATAGAAGAAGAATAAAGAAAATTTGTTTCTGATAGATAATTATTTAAACGTATATACAATATGTAACGTAATTAACGCACACCCTCAGACACCCCAATTAGTATATTATGTTATAATCATAATACATACACTGAATTTTTAGTTAAACATTTTTATGCACTGATTATTTATCAAATTAGTTATACTAATTCCGGAAAAATGTTGTAGTCACAGTACAAATCCACGAACGCAAAGACTTTAACGTGCTTGAAATAATGTTCATTTTTCTTTATTTTTTATTGAATGACAGAATTAGTAATAATACAAATAAAACTGCACTCTTAAAAGTCTTATTGCCTTAAGTTACGGTCCATTTTAGTTTGTTTTGACTGTACAGATTTAGTGTGACTGTAATTTACGTAGTTTTAACCGGGAGCAAAAAGTTTACTATGTGATTTCTATTGGCTTTGATTTGTTGAGTCCAAATTTGAGTTGTATATGTATGAGTAGTTGAGTTTAAAGATTTCAACTATCACCTCTAGCTTTTCAGATATTTACATTTAAATAAAATATCGGTATTGATATATATATATATATATATATATATATATATATATATATATATATATATATATATATATATATATATATATATATATTAAATAAGTATATAACGAAAAAATTTACACTGATTGATGACTTTTACAACACAAATTAAAATGAAATATGAATTAAAATATATAAAAAAAAAAACATAAAAATGATAACTATTTGGTAGATCGCTTTCTTTTATACATTTTAACTGCTGTTTCTCGATTTATTTCCCAGCAAAAATCAGCTAGCATTGCTGGGGTCCACTTGCCGCTGTATCTTTTTTCCATATGTGCAATGCCTTGGTGGAATCTTTCATCATGCTCATCAGACACGGCACCAAGATTTTCTGGGAAAAAATCTAAATGCGAATGCAAGAAGTGAATTTTTAAAGACATATTGCATCCAAGTTGATGATACGACGAAAGCAGTTCTTCTATCAGCTCACGTACGTCGCTCACTTGTTCAAAACAATCACTGCGTTCGCGCTTCGCGCATGTCAGTTAGTTAGAGCAGTAAACAATAGCTTGTTGTTTCTTTCTAACATAGAGACAGACTCAGAACACAACTAAATACATGCCTGCAACTATAAGCAAACAATTCTAGTGCAAACAAAAATGCTATTGCGTCGAAACTAGACGTGCTAGGTGAATTCTAACTACATATTTGGATTTAACGTAACTAACGTAATAACTTCCATATATACATTTTTTGCTCTTATTTTGATGCCGACCAGTGTTATTTTTGGGATAAAAAAATTCCTATATTAAAAATGATAGGAATCGATTCAGTAAACGATTCTGAACAAACTACTTTCTCAAAGTGCGTTAATTATGTTACATGTTGTATATAATCCGCTCAAATACTTCTGATAATACGGGCAAAATTGATATGGGGCGATAATTCCCAGGGTCAAATTTAGAGCCAGCTTTGTGAATAGGACTAACTTTAGCTACCTTAGACTATCCGGAAATACACCATCTCTCATACATTTATTGATACATAAACATAAATTACCACTTATTAAGTCATTAACACACTTTATTGCTTTGGGCGTTATATACCATATATACCCGAACTTGCATTATTATTTAAGTTTTTGATTATAATCAAAAACTTAAATAATAATGCAATTCAATGTATTTCATCTTTTGTACATATTTTAAATTCTGAGAGGTATGAGTGCAGGTGTGAGTTAATATTGTCAATATATGCTATATTATTATGATATTTCTGCGGTATATCATTTACTAAAACTGTACCTATTAAAGAAAAGTAGCTAT